ACATCAACTGTTGCCCAAGTTCTTCACTATTCTAAGCTTAATGGGTGAGACTGCACATACATCAACTGTTGCCCAAGTTCTTCACATTCTAAGCTTAATGGGTGAGACTGCACATACATCAACTGTTGCCCAAGTTCTTCACTATTTTAAGCTTAATGGGAGACACTGATCACACATCAACTGTTGCCCAAGTTCTTCACTATTCTAAGCTTAATGGGTGACACTGCACATACATCAACTGTTGCCCAAGTTCTCCCCCAGTCTGAGCTTTATTTGAGAGTGCAAACTATTATTGAAGAAAACAGATTAAACCTCCACTAGCGTCTCTAGACAACAAACTCTAGTGAAGCTGCCTAAACAAAGATAAAAAGAGACGGTGTGTAGAACGAAGCCCCCCCCCCCTCCCAGCTGTACTTGAATCCGATGCTCCTTTCATCACAAGCTGTGACGCCTTGATAATTAACAGCATCAAACACACAAAAGGACAACGACCAAAGGGAAGAGACGCACTGATTAATCTACAGGATATGAACCATTAATCGATTCAACACACTAAGCGATTAACCTAATTTCTGTCTGATTAGCTCAGAATGAACTCCGTCCGGCCGTCGTCCTGCTGCTGGAGGAATTTACGCACAAGCCTTTTGATTTAAAACGCAACAGATGGTGCGTCGAGTTAGATTTACAACGTCCAGATGACACACTCGGTCTTTAATGCAAACAGCAGCCGGGAGGCGTCTTACATATGTGTTGCGGATGTCCAAGACCACAAGGCGGAGCTCGCAGTACTGATACTGGTCCAGCTCGTGGACCAGCTGTCGGTAGTCTCCCTGCAGCAGAAAGGCACACATCGTAAACGGTGAGTTATACGTTTTACCGTCTATAACTCGATGCAGCCGAGGACACTGGGCATGAACTACTGACCACATGTGGTTGTTTGGCGGCTTTGGCCACAGCGTCACCTCTCTCACTGTAATATCTGTCAAAATAAAAGAGGTCACAACATCATATCAACGTGTACATTTTAAATCACCGCCTGACACGATCATAGTTTAAAATAGATTATTAATATGGATGAAGGACAGAACTTCTGATGAACAAGCTGTTCAATTGTTCGCTCCTTCGTGGATTATTTTCACTTTCAAATGTTTTTGTTGTCCCAGAGTTGATGGGCAGGCGTTCCTTGTGAAGTTTTATAAATTAAAAAACTATTTTCAGGCCTTTAAGGACACATGATTTTCATAAGAGCTGAGCCTGCCAGCCCAAATAAACTAACACCAACAGTCACGTCAGTAAATATTCCTCATCCTGCTGCGCTGATTTGGGCTCTTACTTTGAAATCTGAGTCTGGAAAGCCTCGATCTTGGTGCGCGTGTTCGTCAGCAGCTCAAACACTTTCTCCTGTTGGACAAGACGAAAGCTTTATGTTTCAGATACATCGTCCTCCGGTCCAGCGGTGATAATCACCAACCTGCACGGCCACTCCGAAGTTATTCCCATCTTCAATCTTGGGGATGTGGAGCTGCACCCACATGGACACCTGCCGGGAAAACGTTTCCGTAAATAGACCTGTGATGACGGGAACGGTTCCTGGATCCACAGGAGGTTTATGTTCGCCATGAAGCCGGTCTCACTTGGCTGATGGGGACTAACTGGGGGTTCAACGTTAGAAAACAGGCGGGACTGACCGTGTTGAGCTTCTCCTTGAGCGTCTGGATCTCGGGTTGGACCTCCCTCAGGAGGCTCTCCACGCGCTCGTTGCTGTAGATGGGGCCGCACGGAGGTCCTGGAGGGAAAACAATCCTAAACACTCAGCCACCTTCGCTACTTCCTACACAGATTCTTTCATTTAAATACAGAACATAACTTTATGACATTTTCTAGACAAACCCACACCTGTCCTCATTTACCTGAATCCTCCTCCTCTTTATCGCTGTCCTTGTCTTTCTTCTCATCTTTAGCTTCCTTCTGCAACAAATAAATCCCATAAATAGTTTATTTATATATATATATTTTTTTTTTTTTGACGGCTTTTCTTCTAACTTAACTTTTTTAGATTTTTCTACCTGGATTGTTGAGCATTCATCAGGATATATTTATCTGCAGTTTTGTTTTTATGTAACAAACATTTTCCACTCTTTTTTTTTTTTCCAAATGAAGGTTTTTCAGTTAACGTATGAAAAACCAAATGTTAGAAAGTATCATAAATACAAAATATCAATATTAGGCCTGTCGCAATAAACAATAAATCAATTAATCGCATGATAAATGAAAATTATCTATCTCATTTTCATTTATCAGCTTTATCGTTTCTTCGTGTCTCTCTTTCTGTTGAAGACACTGGAAGACAAAAGGCTCAACTTCACTGACCCCTCCCTTTCCATTTTCTCTTTAAAATCGGTTTTAATCGTCCAAAGTCGCGTTTTTGGATCCTTAAAAGCCACTAAGCTACGAGCTAAGGTAACAGGCTGATCTCTGGGAATAATCCTCCGTCTTGTCGAAGCTCCAAAATTCACGGTTGAAACCAGTGCCTTCGTCTAAAAAGTTGTTTCTCTGCAAAAAGAAGCTGAGAACTTGTTTACTGATTTTTTTATTAAAAGCTTTGTGTGACAAATTCTATGCTAAAGAGCTCAAATCACACCGAGCGTCTGCCATGTCAGCCCATGTCACGTCAAGAGGCCTCCCTCCCATTTTTCTTAAAGAGACACGCTGCTCGCTCCCTCACTATCCATCCTTTGGTTCAAACAGTCTTATACTGCCATACAGTGGTTGAAAAGCAGTACTACATGCAAAACAAATTGACCAACATTTCTTCTTAAATTTGACAATAATTACTATTTATTGTAAAATTTCAAACAATATTATCGTTTATCGCAATAATTTCTGAGACAATTAATCGCCCAGCAAAATTTGTTATCGTGACAGGCCTAATCAATAACAATCAATACAAAGTCATTGATATGAGTGTTTGTTTGGCTTCGTTATTGTACAAATTTAAGCCCCACAGAACACAGAATAACATTTTATTTTCACTTAATTGTCGTTAAAGTAGAACCAGCGGAACATTACCAGCGTTAACGTTGAGGAAAGTTGCGAGTTGTTCGTTATAAATAAGCTGTGGGACTGATCACGTCTCAGAAACCTGTAATTAATTCATTACTAAAAACTTGTTTTTCTGATGATTTAATGAAAAAAATGCATTTAAAGCATCTTAAATACCCTTCATAAAGCTCACTTTAAACCCCTTCAATGGGGAGGCTTAAAAATATGAGGCCGACTTTGTGGAACCGACGCAAGAGTGAAATAAATAAATAAAATCAGGCTTCTTGTTTTAAAACATTAAATTTCTCACATCATAGCAGCTAATTACTCTGAATACCTCCTCCTTCTTCTTGCGTTTGGCCTCCTCTTTGGCCGGATCCGGGATGGGGATGTCCAGCGGAGCCTTTATGGACGCCAGGTCATCGCAGCTGAAAGACGTCTGACAAAAAACACGAAAACAAGTTTGGTGTTGGCGCTCACAGTCTGGGTTTAAACGCTCGTCTGTGCCAGAAAACCTATAAATCTTCATCGTACTAACAAAAACTAGAGGACGAGCGTTCCTTCCGAGCATGTGTTCCGCTCATTCTCTGTAAAACTAATAATTACAGCTGCTGTTGTGGTTTTAGGGTCAGTTGGCCGTGGCGGACATCTTGAATTGGGCTGGCTTAAAAAATAATTAATTTTTGACATTTACATATTTCATTAAAACCCACCCCATGTTCTCTGAGATGTTTTGCTATACTTATATATTTATTATATATTATTATAATATACTTATCAGCAAAACATGCACATTTTTAAATTAGTTTAAGGCTTTTTAAATAATTTCTCAACTTTAAACATGATATAATAAACACTAATAGCCTAATGAACACCTTAAATGTAAAATGAGTTTTAAAAAAAAATAAACACTTAAGAAAGTTTTGCTTCTGGAGCCAGATTCAAACCTTCAGCAACATGTGCAGCTCTTCAATCTTCTCAGGGAAAAAATTGGACACCAGCTCCTCTGCCTGTAACAACAACAAACAAACAAACAAACGGTGTGGAAAAATGTGAAAACTTCACAAAAAACTCTGTTATTTACAAAACTCATGAAGGGTTACCTCCTTGGAGAGCTTCTGGCAGAAGTCATCCACCTGAAATGGAAATAAAACGCGTTTCAGAAGAGGAAACCTTTCATTTGGACGGTGAAGCTGATTTTTCCTGACTGGATTACGTGTCCTTGAACGCAACAGGCCGGTTCTGCTGTGAGTCTGCTAAAGGTCCAAACTCAAACTCACCTGTTCCTCACCTGTTGGCAGCCAGGTGTTTGAGCAGAACCGGGTTGAGCATGTTTCGTGCTAACAGTCGGGCTCACCTGTTTCTTGGACTCGAGGCGAATTCCCAGAGAAGCCATGATTGATCGTGACCGCGCGGATAAAAAAGGTAAATTAATAAACTTGTTAAACGGTTTTAACTGTAACAAAACAACAAGGAGGAACAAAAAACGAAAATGATCGTTTCAGACTGAGTAACTCGAAGCCCGACTGAGAAACTCTCGCAGTTACTCAGCATAAACAAGCGAAAATGAAAGTAGAGTGAGTTTTGGTACTTTCCTTTGTAACTTCAAGCGGGCGCGCTGCATTGTGGGACTTGAAGTTTTGACCCAATTCCGCCATGACGGGTAGGGAGGTTTATTTTAAATAAAATCTAAAGGTTTTTAGGGTAAATCCAACGAAGATAAATTAGTCCATGTCCAACAATTCACTCATGGTTAGACAAACATATTGTTATTGTTATTTCAGCTCCATCAATAACAACTTCTGCTGTTACACTGATGAAGAGTATCATAAATTAACAAGGAGGGGAAATTATTTTGATCATCATCATCTATGGACAAAATGTCAACTGTTGTAAATGATTTACTAGTTTATCAACATTTACTGTATATCAATTTAAAAAAGACATTACTAACTTAATAGAGCAGAAACGAGTATTGCGAGTATTCTTAGGCCTGAAGAAAACGTTTGACGCCATAAATCTCAACATTTTAATTAATAAACTTGAACGTTATGGCATCAAGGGCAATGATGAACTGGGTGGCGTTGTCTTAGTAATAGGAAGTAGTTTGTGAAGTTGATTACTGTTCATGTTTAGACATTAGTTGTGGCATCCCTCACGGGTCAGTATTGGGTCCTAAGTTGTTTATTTTGTATGTTAGCGATTTGTGTAAGGTATAATCAGGTGATGAGGTGGTATAAGGTGATATGTTCAGGTGATAACTTAATAAATAAAACAAAAAAAAATTGGTTTGATAAAAATAAATTATTAAACTTGAGCAACGCAAAGGTGTTTTTTTAATTACGGCAGAACTAAATCAGAATTAAAAGTGCATTATGGATTTCAAAGTGAAAGTGTGAATGAAATTAATTTTCTGGGAATAATGATTAACAAATGTGATGGAAACCTTTTATTAGACGTGTGCAAACCAACGACGGGTTCTGAATTACAAATCGCTTCACATTCTGTCCCATAGTTCTTCCACATTTAAGTAACTGTGCAGCGGTTTGTAGTAATAATTATAAAAGTTTAAAACGACCATTAAGGATTCTTCATGGGGCTGGATGAGGCGTGCGTATGATTGTCATTTGATTATGATCAAGAAAAGTAACACATCAATGATTATTATATATAATTTTTATACAATTTATGTAGGATAAGTAAGTAAATTGATGATTGTTTAAGTCTTATTGAACTCATTACTGTATAATTTAGAATAAGGAAATAATTACTATTGTACAAATTTATTTAATCCCATCCTTCACAAATTATTAACTTCTTCCCACTCATTTTCAAATATGTTTAATTTTGTCCATCTTATTACATTATTTCTTTTCTGTTTTTAATATATGTTTGAAATAAAGAAATATTTTACGGAATATCGTACCAAAACATTAATATATTATATTTAAGTAAATTACATTAGAAGATAAGAAAATAGAACATGATAAACTAGAGAATGGTGCCTTTATAAATAAATTGTTTGGAGTTTTTTTTTTATTGTAACCAATGCTTCTGGGTTTTTAATTTTTCTTCTAGTTCAAAAATATGGAGTTTACAGAAAATGTTACCATATAATTCTATTTTATTTTATTTTAAATATTGCAGGTGTGCAAATATCTAAGTTTTTCTGAACATAATAGAATACAATTGAAATACTTGCAAAATATATATATATTTGAAAACTTATTTATTTTACAAAGACACCATCATCTTTTCTATTATAGTTGTAAAGATTAATTTTAAAACGATAAACTTTGTGGCCAGGGTGTCACTGTACTGCCTTTGTTGCATTCTTTTTGTTTATGTAGGAAAAAGTAATAAAAATAAATTAATCAATTTTAAAAATTTGGACCAGTGGTTCTAAAGTGGGGCCCCAAACCCAACTTTGGGTCATGAATTATCAAATTAGTGTTCCCAAATAATCTCCATAAATCAAATTATGTTTAAAAATTGATAAGAACGTATTTTCCCTATAAATATTTCTCCAAACCTAATCATAACCGGTTTATTTTGTCTTTAAGTCTTTATTTAATACGGTCATACGACTTAAACCGATCATATTTGGGGTGATGATCATGTGCAGCTGTTTCTTTACAGGTCAGAACCTGAGAAGTTTGGGATTATTTGATATCTGAAAGTATTTTTGTTTGTAACTGAAGCTCTTTTGTAGATTTGAGCCTCTTCAGTTCTGTGTCTCTCCACTGGAGGGCGCTGTCGAGTTACATGGAGCAAAAAGAGTAAAGTACCAGAAAAAGATGAACATCCTTCTGAGCGTTATGTTTGCTTTTGTGGTTTGTTTGTCTAATCCAAGCCAGTTTTTAATGAAGCAGGTTGCCATGACAATGTAATACAGTGAAAGAAAAATGAACGGAGCCTTCGTTTGCTCACCTAAAACCTAGTCGACAAGTGTTTTATAAAGAGCCGTCCAGCTGCAGCAGCAGCTTGTGGACCCAGGACATGGGGTGGACGTGCTGTCTTCCATCAGGACGAATGTGGACAGAGTTAGGGTCAACCCGGTCGGGTCAAAGTGTGAAACAAGCAGACGCTCCTGCGTGGACAAACAGGACTCTGTTGTGTTGTTGTGTTTACATTCACAGGTAAAAATTAACCGTAGGTGAATACCTCCCTCGTGGATTCAATCACCCAGTCAGAGACGAACTGTAATTTAATTTTTCTTGACCTTCGACACTCAGGCGTGCTGCAAGACCGAGACTGGATCCAAAGAGCAAAGGGTGGACTTGTTTACACTGGCTCGTTATTGACTCTTTAATTCGACTGGGTGAGTGATTAAATGGCTGCGGCCTGTCGTTCGATTCAGAACCGCTGTTGAGAAACGGCCCGGACGAAGGTCATTCTGCGAGTTTCAACAAAGCTGAGGCCTGGGGGCTTTTAAACCGAGATTCATCCGTTCAACCTTTATTTACCCAGGTTAGTCTCACTGAGCCACGAGGACTCATTTACAAGAGAGACCTGTTTTAAACAAACAACACAGTAATAGACAATCATGTAAAAAGCATATAAAATGAAAAGTAAATGGAATAAATGATATAAAAACAAAACAAAAACATCTATAAAGTGGTGTAAACTACTAAAAACAGGAACGTGTCTACGTTGGTTTTTGCCATGAACGTATCAGTCGTTTAAAATCACTTCGACATGAGGCTTAAAAGATGTGAATCGACCAAAATACCCTGGTATTTATAAGAATCGACAAACTCAATAAGGACACCATTTGAAGATAAAATAGAAAGGAAGGACTGCTGTGACAGACTTCCTGTTTGAAAACAACATCCCTTTGGTTTTGGCACCAGTTTGAGGCCGAACAAGTCTGACTGGTTGATGTCGAAAGCAGACTATCAAAGCTGGAAAACCTTAGCAACAGTTTTAGCTCGACAGTAAACTACTGTGTCATCGGCATAGAAATGTAAGGATGCATCAGGAATGATCTACATTACTTATTTAGATTATGAAGAGGGGGGGTCCTAAGACTGAACCTTGTGGTACACCATTGTTAACAGATGACTGGAAGAAGTTTCATTATGTTGAACACATTAGATCATCTCATGCTGAGAAAGGACAAATGATCATACTGGAATCTCACTAGACATCTTTAGTAGAGCTCAGAGGATGTGTTGGGGAGGACTCTCAGCTACTACCTCACCATATTTTTGCTCAGGATCTATAAAGTTGGTTACATCCATTTGTTTTGTTTATGGTGAACATCTTAAACTGGGTTCACTCCAAAAGTAAACACCAAAGTTTTTAAGCAAGGATCCAGTGGAACAAGTAAAGCTCAGAGTATGTGTCGGTGATGACTCTCTGCTACTACCACATCAGATTTTAGCTCTGTACCTGTAAAACTGACTGAGTTATAATCGTGTTTCTTCCCTAAGGTTTAAGTGGGTGTGGCGGCCATATTGATTTGGGTCGTCTCCAACTGTTTATGACAGATGCTCCATTAGTAATTAATGAATTTTTTTTTACCCTTTTTTCCTCACAAATTAATATCATAGCAATATTGGAAAATATCATACTTTTATTTTTGTGAATTTTTATATTGAATCATAAAAAGAGATTTTATTCTTGCAAATTTCTGACTTCCCAAGTTTTTTTCATTTTATAACATTAATGTTGGAAATTCTAAGTTTTTTTTTTTCTGAATTTTGCACCACCTACCAACTCCTCTTTATTTTTTTAATTTGAAATTTTAAACAAAAGCTCTTTTGCAATGACTAGAGCTCCGTATATGTGTTAGGGATGACTCTCAGCTACCACCACGCTGAAGTTTAATTCAATATGTGTAAAACTGACCGAGTTGTAGCAGACTATTTTTTTTAAATGTTATGTTTTTATTTGTTTCTACTGAAAAAGACCTTTGAATTCCCGTCAAAGGTCTTTTTTTTTTTTTTTTTTGCACAGACAGAAAACGTATTGATCTCTCAGGTCACGGGGTCATGGATGTAAACATTTACAAGTAGTTTCAACAGCTTTGAACACTAATTGGGAAACATCAGAGCTGCTAGAGCAACTTATACGCCTCATTATTATTATTACTTTTCCCCCTAAAGGAATGAAATAAAATAAAATGTCTTCTGGTGTGGTTTTCTTTGACGTATTTTAAGCAAATGGTTTCAAAAGTTGGGGTCAGGACCCCAGTATGGGTCACAAAACATCAAGTTTTGAAGTTTCGAGATGATTTCTATAAATGAAACAAATTTGCAGTTCATCACTACTGATGTTTTTGTTGCCATAATTACTAAAAGAAGGAAAGAAAGCACAAGTGTTATTTGGTTTAATTGAAACTTTTGCACATTTTAACCAACAATAATCGAGTCTATAAGATGCTGAGTCTGTTATTTTCAGGGTCGGGAGATGAATAGTTGGGGAATTGTTGAGAAAAATACTTCTTGTGGCTCAAATGTGAGAAAATTCCACCACATGATGAAAACACAATGAACGCCATGTGGGTAAAAGAAGAAGAATCGAGATGACATTGTTGTAAATTTAACCCATTCTTACTAAATTTAAGCATAGTGTGAAAAAAATCCAAAGATTTGACAAAGTTTAAGTTGGACAGATGGAGACCTTGTTGCCAAATCTCCACAGCGAGTTCAGTGTCAACACATGATCCTGTTCCTCAGGGTCACTCCCGTTTGCAATTTCAAAACGGTTTCATGCAACATGTTTTCCAGAGTTCGCCTCGAGAGAGGGACATGACACACTGATGATGGAAACGGTAGATTTCTGTTGAAAATCTGTGGAACCAAAGTTCATTTGGACACTGACCACCTCCACCAGTGGCGACGTGCTGTAGGTCTAAATTCACAGTTTGGTTCGTAGAGTTTTCTGTGGTTACAAGGGCAACGTGCTCGGAGCGTGACGTGCTGCACAGCTGGAAACACTTTAGGCTGATGTTCGTAGAGGACTGAAAAAAACTAGAACACATCAATACCTCCAGTTTACACATATCTGCAATAAGAGAAAGTAAGAAATGTGGCGTGCCATTGGAAAAACTGGTTGAAGCAACATAGTCTGGGTAAATACTTTAAAGTATTTGTCACCTTCTTATCTTGCACATACCACAAACCTAGAGTCAGTTCACAATGTCAGAAATCAAAACACCTAAGGCCTCACGCTTGCTTGCCACCCATGGTAGCAGAGTACCATGGGTACCCGTGTATTTTTACCATGAGACATGATAAAAATACATGGATACCCATGGTAGCAGGGTACCCGTGTATTTTTACCATGAGACATGGTAAAAATACAGTTGTCCAGGAGAAACTCTGAGTAGAGCCGCTGCTCCTCCACATCCAGAGGAGCCAGTTGAGGTGGTTCAGGCATGTGGTAAGAATGGCCCCATGGCGCCTATTTAGGGAGGTATTTTCAGCATGTCCAACTGGTAGGAGACCCCAGGAAAGACCCAGGACATGTTGGAGAGACCAATATGTTATCTGTCCTGGGAACGCCTTAGAGTCCAGAAGAGCTTGAAGAGGTGGCTGTGGAGAGAGATGTCTAAACCTCCACGATCAAGCTTCTGCCCAGAGACCTGAATCCAGCGCAAGAGGAAGACGATGGATGGATGGATGGATGGATGTGTCCATGTGGACAAATTTCAATGAAATTTCAGAAAGTAATGAATGTACAAGTTAGAATTAGCAAAAGCAAAAAGATCTCTAACTCTCTTTTACAGATCTTGACGGGATTGGGCAGCACGGTTGCACAACTCGTACAGCTGCTGCCTCTCAGCGACCAGGTTACCCTGGTTCAAATCCCAGTCTGGGGACCTTCTGGGTGGAGTTTGCATGTTCTCTCCGTGAATGCGTGGGTTTTCTCCGGGTACTCCACAGACCAAAAACGCGTATCTATCAAAGTCAAAGTTTCTTTATTTGTCATACATGTGGTACATGTGGTGGAATGAAATTGTGCACAAGTTGTCCCAGTTACATCCAACAAAAGTATAAATTGTAAAGGAAAAACAGTAATGATGTATGTTAGACTGATTGGTAACTCTAAATTGTCCCTAGGTGTGAATGAGAGAGTGAATGGTTGTTTGACTCTTTGTCCCTGTGATGGACTGGAGACCTGTCCACGGTGTCCCCCGCCTCTTGCACAGTGACCTGCGACCCCAAAAGGAAGAAGCCGATGAAAGATAATGGATGGATGAGCGAGGATTTGATGTGGTAGTAGCTGAGAGTCACCCCCAACACATATTAAAGGCTTCACTCATCGTCTAAAATCTTAAATTTTTGGCAGGACCCAATTCAAGATGTCCATCGTCTAACTGATCTTAGCAAACTCAAAAATGGTCGTAACTCCATCAGCGTTACAGATATTGAATTAAAATTTGATGCAGTAGTCGCTGAGAGTCATCCCCAACACGTATTTTGAACGTAAACTGTTTGCAGTACGGAGAAACTGAGCAAAACGGTGCAGACATTTCTCAAAATAGGAGGGGTCTTCAAAGAAAGCTGGATCTTTAAGGTAAATACTTGATGTATTTTTGTGAAATTGTAAATATATTATGTGGGAGGGGGATCAGCGTTGTGTATGAGCAGTTGCTTGCCCCATTTTAAAAAGTATTTTTATGTTGGCTGTTCCTAAATAAAGTTAAATCAGCAAATCTCCTTTTGTTGTTTTATTTTAACTGTAAATTATCTTTTATGGCACTCCCTGAGCTCCGTACAACCAAATGAAACAACTTAAAAACGACCAAAATAAATGAGTAGGCCTATTTGTGTAAAAACAAACCGTGTCAAGGTCATGTCTGCTGCTTAGTGTTAAAGAAAATGTGGCACTGGAAACAGTAAAAAAAAAAAACACAGAAAATAAAGAAAAAGTTTTTTACTTTCACTCTCGCGCTGCATTGTTTAAAAAGTAAAACCTCAATACTTTTTAAAGTGAAGTTAATGTAATGACAGAGTTACATCGCGTTCTTTATAGTTATGTAACAGCAGCTTTTTGTCTCCCTGCTGGCTCCTACTTCCGGGTTGGTTCCGTGCGTGACTTTACGCACGGCGCGCGCTGCAGGAACTGTGGAGACTTGCATCATCCAGGACCGGGACACACGAGCTGTCCCTCGGAGAGGACACATGGACTCAAACTGGGCACGAGTCAAACTGCAGCACGTGTGAACTCTAAAGCTGAAGCTCCGCCCCCTTGTCATTTCGGACCCTTTGATCACTTTTCTTTTCTTTTATAAGCGGCGCGTGGGCTTCCGGGACTCATCAGTCCATCTAGGGTCGCGGATCAGGACCAGGACCAGCATCCAGGTGTTGAGCAAAGTGCCAGGTCCTGTCAGAGACACCGATATGAGCTGTGGAGACCTTTAGCTGCTGCTGATCGCCTTTTCCACTTTTCTTTACCTCCTCATTTTTAAGTTAATTATTGAAGTTTTGCGCCAAAGATGTCGTGCCTTTTATTAGGAGTCATACGAAGGTGAGTAATTGTCCATTTTACTTTTATTTGCCTTTTTAAAGTAAAGTTCGTGCATAAAAAAAAAGAGCAAGATTTCTCATAGTTTGTGCTTTATTTTAAATTTATGTTGTTTTTTTTAAGAGTAAAGACCTTCAGGGAAAACTTTTTCCCCCAGTTTTCTATATTTGATGATGCATAAGAGCAGTGTGTATCCTTCACCCCCAAGTCTTTGATGAGGCCACATCAGGAAGCCGGGAGTCAAAGTGAGCGTCCAGTTAAATCTGCTTTATTTTGAACAGAGCATGTTGTGTGCCGTCACCCTGACTGAGTGTTTCTGCCTGAGGGACTGTCGGGCAGTGCAACCGTCACGTCCTGGAGTGTGTTCTGTACTCACAGCACCGGGACTAATAATGAAACGTGCATGATGTTCTCCGGCCGGCCTAGACATCTGGGTCTGTCAGGGTGGAGGAAAGGAGGGGAGTGTGTGACGAGCGAGGATTGGTTTGTCATCCAGGAGGTGTTTCCAGCCAAGCTTTCTCCTCCTGGAGTTACCTGAGTGCTCTTTAACGTTCTGGTGATGAGAACGCAGCTGAGAGGGTTTCTTGGGGTGGTGTACGTGAAATCAAGCAGCATTCTTGAGTTTTCCAGTAATGGAAGGAGTGGGGGGGGGGGTGGTGTAGGGTGTGGATGGGTGGCTTCGAGGAAAATCTGGAGTAAAGGTCATCAGATCTGAAAAGAAACTGCTTCTCTTTAAAGCAGCAGTTCAAATCTTTTAAAATTGAGGATCAATTGCGGTACTTCTAAATTGTCATCCACTGCGCTTTTAAACTACACTACCCACAAGACACTGGTTGGAAACAGGAAGTCCTGGCTTGGTCTGCACTGGCTCTGCAACATCAAGTGATGACTGGTTAAGAGGTCAATCGAAGGCTCAGCTGGGAATATTAATACTTCTGCTGGAATAACTGTAGTGTGAAATTGTTGTTGTAAACGTTTATAAAGTGTGTGCATGAATCGTTTTGATGTCTTTGAGATTTAAGTTGAGTTAAAATGGCACGTCAACATAAAAATACCATGGATGAAACCTCCTCCTGTTCAAAATGTAAGGCACAACATCACGTTGGGTGTTTTTGGAACCAGAGTCTGAGCAGAAGAGCTGTGGGGCTTTAAGCCCCGCCTACTTTTGCCCTGTTTGTTCTTGTAAAAGGGGCGGGACTTAAAACTTATACTTGCACCATCCTATGGGGAGGCTGTTCGTGTTCAGACTTAACTTTCCGGATCCCTGTCAGATTTTCTGTACGATCAAGAAAGCTACTGGGTCGTCTTGACTCAGTGGGTATTTTTCCTCTTATTGGAGGGTCGGGGGTTCAATCCCCAGTCCCATACACCATGCCGAAATCTCCTTGGGCAAGGCACTGTAACCCCTCCCCTTCATGGAAATGCCTACTGGTACATGAATGAGAATATAAAGAAGTGCTGTGTAAAGTGTGTAAAAATATAAAAATCAAGCACCCTTTGGGTGTGTATAAATGTCTTGTTGTTAGCTTGAGTTAACTTGTTTTCCAAACAGAAGTTGTTTAAAGACTTATCTACAACAGGTAAGATAGTAATTGATATAACCTTTCCACAGAGCCCCGCTTCAAAAGATTTAAACGCTCACTTTAAAGAAAAGGCTGCTCCTTTAGCTCCACTAGCCTTCCATAAGATGCTTCTGCAGAAAAATCAGCCAACTTTTAGCTCCTGCTAATTAAATTAGAAACCTTTCCTGGTGACCTCCTCCCTTGATCCCAGTCAGAGATGATAATGCTCAGCACCCTCCTGCTGGTTGCTGTAATTGGCTGCATGACAGGATTAATGTGTGTAACTGATTTATAGCGTGGGGTGAAACAGGGTCCAGACCCTCAGATCTGACTGAAGGGCCTGGTTCATCTAAAATCCCCCTGGAGTCTCTGTTCAGAGGTTAAATCTTGAGTCCTGCTTCAACAGCTGTCGCAGGGATATAGTTTATGACCAAATATCAGCAAAACTGATATTTGTATCAGCCTCACCTGTATGAGGTCCAAAGGTAAGTCCTCTAAGTACATGCTGAAGGAACATGGTGACCACAAAGTAACAGGACACACTGAACATCGTGGTGTCAGCGTTTTTATTGTCTGAGCGTTGGCAGGTTGACGTCAGCTGTCAGCACAGTCAAAGACTCAAACGCTGCTCGAGTTTATCATTATCTGCACTTTCAGGGAGAAATTTCACATTTTAATCACAAATTCTGGTATTAAGACCTGCTACACCCAAGGTGCCGACCCTTAAAGGCTCTACGTGACCTATTAGGATTACAAGTACAACAAAGTTGGAATACCTCCTTCTGTGTTAATCGTGGTGCTGCTATTATTTTATTACTAGCTATAAATGGTTAAATGATTCTTGTCCAGGTGTCACACCTGTAGATTGTTCCTACAGTCTTGTTGTAGTCTAGGCACAGAGCTAGAGTGGTCAGTCGATGACTAAGCCACGTCGTGGGCCCCTTTTTCATCAACATGCTGACACCACACTGCCCTCAGAGACCTGATGGGCTGTCACTGTGATTGTAAACCAGGATGGAAGATCCTGATAACTAGTCAGTTTTGGTCATATCCACTCCTCATTGTGTTCCCTCTCATCACAATGGTGTAAATTGATGGTGGCGGTTGACTCGCTGACATGCCGCTCGACTATACTGGTGGATTCCTTTTTCATTTTTCACCTTAAATGTGATCATTGTCTTGCCAGGACGGAGCTGTAAGAGTGTTGGGATGCTCAGGCTCACATCTGTATTTTCCTAGGACCATCTTCCGCTCAGTCACTTTTGAAATATCTCAAAATGACTTCTTCTATGGTGGTTTTATTGGAGAGTAGCAAAACACATGGCACATTACTGCCAAGGAGTGTGGTCAGGACAGCCAACTAAAAAAAACTATCTCCACATAGATGACATGGCTTTTCTCACCTGACTGCTCAACTGAGGGATGAACGTCACGCTACCTTAAAGTGGTGCCCGTACTGTAGTATCAGAACATTTTTTACAAGTACTGGTACATGCACACAGTATTGGATAATACCCAAAGGTGTATTAACATTGGTGCATTTCTACTTGGGGACTAGTTAGTGATGCAAAATTGTGACAAAAGACACATTTTCACTTGGAATAACAATTCCCAGCAAATATAGCACAAATATGTAGAGTTTGCTACACTTAATTTATTTATTAATCCTTATTTACAGGAAAATCCCACTGGGATCACAGGTTTCTTTTGCAAAGGCCTGCGGGCGGCTTAACACGCTTGTTTTTGGACTGTGGGAGGAAACCAGTGTATCCAGAGAAAACCCACGCAAATGCATAGGGAACATCTAAACTCCACTCAATCCCCAGGTCCCAACCGGGTATTGAACCCAGTACCTTCTTGCTGTGAGGAGACAGTGCTAACCACTAAACCATCGTGCTGCTCAAATATTGGCAAGTAAATAGTTCCAGAGACTCACAACAACTACTCTGTGACTATTCTGAGATCAAGTTTGACACAAGTGTAAAGCCATGCACCCCATTCCTATCTGAAGGTATTATTCTGAATAAGGATAAGAGGGCCGCGCTTATAGCAGCAGCTTCGTGCACTACGTCCATCTTCCGGACGACTGTACGTACATGTTCTCGTTGTATCTCGGTGCAATGATAATAAAGCTTATTCTGATTCTGATTCAAGGAAAATGAGAACCCTCAGGCATTTTCGGCACCCACGAATGCTGTATGCACCGGTAATTTATCGCCCGCAGTGAGGGACTAGTTTACCAATTTCACGCCATGTTTCTTATAATCTGAGGTACAACTGCTTCATTCGGTTTAGCGTCAAGAAAACAAGACTCCCTTTCTGGCTCCTATTGACCACCTGCTCAGTCTCGGCCAAACGGGTTGATAATTAATGACTCAATGACATCAATGGTTAAACAAGGGTCAAAGATAGAAGTTCAGGGGAGGTTTGGACCCTGAACCGTTCCCAGCTCTTTGCCTTCACACATGTCAAGATTCACACTTTGTCACTGTCAGTCTAATCACTTTGCACAATCAGACCAGGAATATGTGTGTATCTGCATAAAGTACGTGATGTTTGTACAGTGGTTCCTGTTGGGAACCACGTGACTCAACCATGGCGTCGGACTTTGAGGCATCAATCAAAGTGAACAAGTCTGACTTGTACTGCCTGTCGAACTGGACACTTCTTAAAGTTTATACTGTATAATGGCGTCTTGTGTGGAAATCAGGATTTCAAAGCATTTTCCACAGTAGATAAAAAACATTTTAGTTTGTTTGGCAGGATAATTGCTGTCAACAGGCAGGGAACTCAAACACAAACGCACGTAGGCTTGTGTGTAGCCAGTAAACATTGCAACGTCTCGCTGGTGACTATTTTCCTGTTAACAAACAAAAGACTGTCTCTGTTTAAGCCCAGAAGTCACGGTGAAACTTTCGATTTGTGCATGGCATGCCCGGTTGTATTCCATAAGTTAACTAATATCTTGGACTTGATTTCAAAGCATACTGTATATCCTCTATCCTCTTATTTCCTCCTGTAAAAGATTGAAGACTCTTCACGTTGTCCTTTTTTTGTTCAGGCAAGGATGTGTTGGGACAAGTGTCGGGGTCCGATCCCTGGCCTCTATCCCCTCACTTCCGCCGGCGGTGGCTGACTTTGTGAAGGGAGCGGTGGATGAGTGTAAACCCACCAACGTCCACGTGGTGACTGGGACTCCGGATGAAACGACCAACATCCTCGCCGGTCTAGAGAGGGACGGAATGATCAAGAGGCTTCCCAAATACGAGAACTGGTAAGAACCTTGCAACAGCAGGCGCACATCATTCGCCCATGAAGTCTATCTGCGATTGATTCTTCTTTTTTGTTTTTGGCAGCTGGTTGGCACGCACAGACCCAAAGGACGTGGCCCGAGTGGAGAGCAAAACTGTGATTGTAACCAAGAACCAGAGAGACACAATCCCCATCCCAGCTGACGGGGCGAAGAGCCAGCTGGGTAACTGGATGAGCGAGTCGGATTGGCAACGAGCCAGACAGGATCGCTTCCCCGGCTGCATGTCAGGTAGGTTTGACAAAAAGAAGGAACGTGTTCTTCTTTTGTTGCCTTAAGCGTGTACCTGCCCTCCTCTTATCAGACACTGTTAGCTGTAACTTTCATTCATTCAACCTTTACTTATACAGGTTGGTGTCGTTGAGTCACGAGGACTCATTTTCAAGAGAGACCTGTTTAAAACAACGAACACAGTTGAGGTTCAGACAACAATAAACTACCCTGGACATTTGCGTAAAGACAATCTGTCCCGTGAAGTGATTCTTCACTTCATAAATTTTGCACTACGGCCTTTTTTTTTAATTAAAGAAGCCGCGTTTCATTGCTGCTTGTGATTAAACATTTTTGAACCAGTTTAACCACAATCCGTTTTTCCGATGTGCGTTTGTTTAAGATTTACACCCTTCAGCGATGCCACGTAGTCCAGAGCTGCAGCTGTCTTAAAAGTTAAAGCTCTTCTCTGGACAAGAAGTTCAGTTTGTCAAAAACTTGTAGGTTTTCCGACCAGTGAACAGAATCAGCTGCAGGAATTGAAGCTGCAACAATAGAAAGATGATTTGACGGTTGCTCCAAGCAAGCAGAACAAAGGTGACAGTGTATGGCATGCCGATTGTGTCATTAATAGCCACTTTTTACCTATTATATGACACAACGGCATGCCATACAACTTGAGTGCCATCTAGCGGCGGAAAATGGTAGTGTTCAATATTTTCAGTCAGAAGGAATGAAAACGGTCATATCTCCGCCAAAAATTGGTTTATAAATATGAGAAAAAAATCCATAAATAAGTCGCAGGTCATGCAAATTATGCAAAAAACTGCGACTTATAGGCCGAAAAATACGGTACCTAATTCTGTCTCAGCACAAACCCTTACAACTCCACGGAGTGCTGTGTTGAACTAGGTGAATATAATGAGACGTAACGCTGCTCAGACTCTTGTTCTCGGATTAACATGGACATTATAGTTTACGGTGACCACAGCGGGTCCAAAAACATCCAGAACAAACATTAAACCAAAGAGGAACTCACCCATACAACATTTATCTACTCTGAGTCATAAAGTACAGACAAAATGGATTTTTATATTAAGAAGGATGTTCAAATTATTTCCCAAGATTTCTGTTTAATTATCTTTAATCAGCCAGCAGCTGACATAAATAATTTTTTACTCCGAGACGTCCATGTATTAACTCTGAGGTCAGTACTAGAGCTTGACTCTGGACAGATTGTGTTCAGACTACCAAGCGTATACAGACTAAACGGGTCCAGACCACCTCCGACGGTGATTTGAGGCAAAACGTGCACATCGAGGCAGGTCAGAACTTTATTTAGCGCTTTTATTTTGCTGTTGTTTCTGTTATCAATGTTCTGTTTTTGCTGGATGAATTAAAAAAAAAAAAAAAACCTTATTTAGCGCTATCCAAACACAATTTATTAGACAACCCTTTAGTGGATAAACCATAACTCTGACTTTTTGTTGGATCTGGATGGAAACATTGGCAGCCAAAACACCAACGTTCAGACTGTTCAGTGTTTTATAAAAGCTAACCCTGTCCCACCTGGCTGCAACTGTGGGCGACAGTTTACAAACAACACAAGGGAGCTTTAAATGTCTTGAAATGTTCTTGGAGGTTTTCAGTTTCTTTACATGAGCTGCAGGGTTGAGCTGTTTTGTCGCAGGAATTTGATCACAGCCATCATGGGTATCTGGAACCATTGATGGGTCTTGACCCGTCAAAGTGACAAGAGTCGTAACTTATTATTAGGCCTGTCACGATAACGAATCTTGCTGGGCGATTAATTGTCTCAGAAATTATTGCGATAAACGATAATATTGTTTGAAATTTGACAATAATTAGTTATTATTGTCAATTTTAAAAAGAAATGTTGGTTAATTTGTGAGTGGTATCTTTTTTCAACCACCTGATGGCAGTATAAAACCATTTGAACTGAAGGATGGATAGTGAGGGAGCAAGCAGCGTGTCTCTTTAAGAAAATGGGAGGGAGGCCCCTTGACGTGACATGGGCTGTGTCTCCTTCCCTTTTTTTCAATTCTCAAAATGGTGGACACTCGGTGTGGTTTGAGCTTTTTAGCATCAGTGAACAAGTTCTCAGCTTCTTTTTGCAGAGAAAAACAACTTTTTACACGAAGGCACGGGTTTCAACCGTGAATTTTGGAGCTTCGACAAGACAAAGTTTTTTCCCGAGGTTGGCATGTTAGCTTAGCTCGTAACTTAGCTTCTCAGCTGCTTTTAATGATCCAAAAACACGATTTTGGACGGTTAAAATCGATTTTAAAGAGAAAGGGAGGGGTCAGTGAAGAGCACCGGAGTTTTGTCGTCCAGTGTCTTCAGTAGAAAGAGAGCGACACGACGATGAAACTGATAAATGAAAACTAGGTCGATAATTTTAATTTATCGCGCGATTAATTGATTTATTGTTTATCGTGACAGGCCTACTTATGGTGTCAGCGCTTGTCTTTAGATCTCAGGACTTCTCACTTGGTGGGGTTTTACGTGCACTAAGCAGCACTGCAGGCGTCATTTAGCTCGTTTTCCACACGTCGACATTGTTCCGTGGATCAGCATGGAAACAGCTGCAGCACTGTGCGTCACGTTATGCGTATCTTTGTGTTTTTGGAAACAAAATTAGTTTACGAACAGGTTGCTTCAGGGTTGCAGGAGATTCATAAAGTTTGTTTATCTCCGTGTTGTCCCTCCAGGTCGGACCATGTACGTGATTCCCTTCAGCATGGGTCCGGTCGGCTCCATGCTCAGTAAATATGGTGTCCAGGTGAGTTGCTGTGGTGTTTTCTGGTTCGCCTGAGGTTGTAGGTCAGGGTGGTCAGCGTGTTGTGCGTCCTCCAGGTGACGGACTCGCCGTACGTTGTGGCCAGTATGGGCATCATGACGCGTATGGGCGCTCCTGTTCTGAAGAAGCTATCTGAAGGAGTGGAGTTTGTTCGCTGCCAGCACTCTGTGGGACGACCTTTACCTCTCCAAGGTACAGATTTCAGCTCTGCCTGAGTTCCTGTGTCACTTTTGTTTTATTGGATTCCTGATTTTTCTGCAATTGTTTACTTTTACCTTTTTGTGCTATTTTAGCCGTTCGTATATCAAAACGTTCACCTCGTTCTGGAGAGTTTGTTACTTTTATACTTTTCAAATTATTTAACTTTATTTACATAATTTTGCCCATACACATTCATTGAAATCTCTTTAATTGTTACATAAAAATTTTCTGTTTAAAATCTGCTTCAGCAAACTTTTTTTCTTCTTATGCAACTTTTGGCTAGCCTGTCAGCACTTTTGCTTTTAGCTAATATATTGTAATTTTAACTAACAGTTTGCTACTTTAGCTTTTAGCTAGCCTTTTGCTAGTATTACCTTTTATTACTTTTACCTTCTAGCTTCCATTTTGATATTTTTAGCTTGATTTTTACTACTTTTAGCTCACATTTAGCTACTTTAACTTTTAGGTAATCTTTAGCTACTTTTCTCTACCTTTTTCTACTTTAGCTTTTAAGAAATCATTTGCCACTTTTAGCTTGCCTTTCACTAACTTTAGTTTTTTTTACTTCTACCTTTTAGCTACCATGTTGATACTTTTAGTTTTAAGCTAGCGTTTTTGCTACTTTAGCTTTACTGAACGTTTTGCTACTTTTAACTTTAAGCTAACATTTTCTTGTTTTTAGCTTGCTGCTATAGCTTTTAGCTAGCCTTTTCTTAATTTTAGCTTTAGGCTAACCCTATGCTGTTTTAATCTAGTGTTTACAGCTTTAACCTTAAACGTTTCTAACTTTTGTTACCTTTAGCTTTTAGCTAATCTATTGTTACATTTAGCTTTTACCTAATGTTTTTCACTGTCACTCAGTTTCAGCGTAGTTTTCTTGTTGATTCTCGTTTCTTGTCCCCCCCATCAGCTCCTCTGGTCAACTCTTGGCCCTGCAACCCCGACAAGGTCCTGATATCTCACCTGCCAGACACCAGGCAGATTCTGTCCTTCGGCAGCGGTTATGGAGGAAACTCGCTCCTCGGGAAGAAGTGCTTCGCCCTCCGAATCGCCTCACGAATCGCCAAGGATGAAGGCTGGCTGGCTGAGCACATGCTGGTGAGAACAGAAACCAGATAACAGGTCCAGCATACTGTAGCTTCCCCCTGCTGCCGTTCCTGTCAGAGTTTAACAGTAGAGATGCACGATATTGGATTTTTTGCCGATATCTGATATGCCGATATGTTAAAACTTATTTGGCCGATACCAATACCGATATTTTTCCCCCTAGACCTGCTTACAGAGACTACATAGCTTTCTCTGCTGTGGAATTAAAATACCACATTATTCTCATGGTCTTTGTCAGTTTGGCTGCTAACAAATGCAGATGCTAAAAAGGGGCTGAAAATTATGTAACACCTCAACTTGGATTATGTTTAATGTCAAAAGTTGTCACTGGGTTGTCATACAAAAACAGCGCCTTTCATATATATATATATATATATATATATATATATATATATATGGGGGGGGTGGGTCTTAAAACAGCGCCTTTTATATCGGTGAGTTATTTTGATGCAATGGCCGATATCCGATATTTAACTTTAACACAAATATCGTCCGATACCGATACCGTGCCGATAATATCGTGCATCCCTATTTAACACCAAGATCGTCTCGTGTTGAGAAATGTCAGAGCTGTAGCCATTTTGGTCTCTTTCATGTGTCTTCTGTCCTCAGATCCTGGGAATCACCAACCCTCAGGGAGTGAAACGTTACGTAGCGGCAGCCTTCCCCAGCGCCTGCGGTAAAACCAACCTGGCCATGATGAAACCGTCCCTGCCAGGCTGGAAGGTGGAGTGCGTGGGCGACGACATCGCGTGGATGAAGTTTGACAGCCAAGGTGAGCGAAGTGCTTGCACGCGTTAGCTTTGCCTCCCTTGTGTACTAAACGTCACCTGTCTGTAGGTAAACTCAGGGCCATCAACCCGGAGAACGGCTTCTTCGGCGTCGCTCCGGGCACCTCGGACAAAACCAACCCTTACGCCATGGCCACCATTTCCAGAAACACGGTGTTCACCAACGTTGGGGAGACGAGTGACGGCGGTGTGTGGTGGGAGGGGCTTGACGCACCCAGCTCTGGAATATCACTCACAGACTGGCACGGCAAAACCTGGAAAGCAGGTAACACCTTCAGTTTCTCTGAGCACAGACTTCTTGTTCTGAACATCGAGTTCAACAGTTAGAGTGTACAGCGCCATCTAGTGAAACAAAAGGTACGGATAAAAAGCATTTTAGTCCCCCAGGACACCAATTTGGACTTCTGTCCTAAAAATACCAGCAGTGGACGTGACCTCAACATCTGGTGGGTGAACCATCCTAACAATGTTTATTAATCAATTAAAGTGTGATACCGTAGTAAAAAAGTATGCTGATATGAATAACTCTAAAATAAATGTTGATTTCTGAGGATCTCCTCAATTCCCCTCAAAGTGGTGTTTCAGAAGCCCTACTCTGGGTACCACTAGACCAGGGGTGCCCAACGTGGGGCCCTCGGGCCAAAGTTGGCCCAACAAGCTGTCCTCATTAATATATTAAAATTTCCTTTGAAGTGTCATTGTGTTTACACTCAGTCATTCTGACTTTAATGTTAAATGGAAAGTCAGCCCAATGTCTACCTTAATGGCACTATACAGCTGGAGTGGCTATTTTGTGCATTAAATTATTTAATTTTACTCATTTGTATTTTATTTTGACAGACTTCCTACAGCTTCCTGCCACTGAGAAACAGTTTCCTTTGATCCTGCACTAATACACTTATAAATCACACATAAAGTGTTTAAGAATAACCTAAATTATAAATATGAACTGGCTTCAGTAGTGATTTTAGCCTCTTTTAGGGGCTGCTCAAGCACCCCCTAAATTTAAACTCAGCACCCCTGAAAAATAAAACATTAGGATTTTGTAAGGAAACAGTTCTCAAACCTTAGATTCACCAAAATATTGAATATGGAATAAATGACAACCGTCTCAAACGGGCCAGTAAAATCTATTTTTTTTGCATGAGTCCCGCCACCTGTCAATCAATCCAGCACGTCAGCAACTGACCAATCAGCAACCTCAATTTGTCCTGGAGTGAACGCCCCTTACCTGCAGAGCTGCAGCTTTGCAGTCAGTGATTTCAATGAGTTTACATCTTTTGTTTCATGTTAATCTACTGTAATAAACCGTTGTAAAATACACCAAAACGCAGGAAATGTCATCTATTTTATTCAGAATTCTCTGGGGGAGGACCCCCAGATCCCCCACCACCTCCAACACAGCCTGTGCTGTAATGTTCTTTATACAGAATTGAAGGTTAAATAACTGTATAATAAATAAATGGACTTTACTTAAAGAAGTATTTGCATTTCATGTATTATTGCATTTGGCCCGCAACCCTCTGATAAATTTTAAATTTGGGCCTCAGGGAAAATGTTTGGGCACACCTGCACTAGATAAATGTTAGGGTACAATGTCTATATTTGAGGTCAGCAACTGATTATCATTTGAGATCATCCCAATTCAAGATGGCCGCCACAGCTAATCGATCTGTCCCTCAAGGAGCAGTAAGCCTTTAACGTGTGTACGTGTATATGCATGAATAAATTAAAAGAAGTCTTGAGTCTTGGTCTGGAAAACCGTGGTACACAGTGACTGGAAGACGTACCTGTGGTCTCTTGTTGGTTTTCCCTCTGCAAGGTCCAGGCTTGATTATGTCCTGAAAATACAAACTCCTATTGAAGCCATGTTTGTACTGGTCAGCCACCAGAGGTGCAAGACTGCTCTCTAAAATGTACAAACATGGGTACCAATAGGTTCCCACTGCTGAGGGTACCAGAACAGTACCTTTGACGGTACCCCCTCAACCTGCACCCCTCAAAGTTCATTCTTGTTCTAGGACATTACCAAACGCTGAAGACGCAGAGTGTAAACCGAACTGTTGTTCCCTGTTTGTCCACAGGAAGTTCGACGCCTTGCGCCCACCCCAACTCCCGCTTCTGCGCCCCAGCGGCCCAGTGTCCCATCATTGACCCCCAATGGGAGAGCGAGGAGGGAGTTCCCATTGACGCCATCATCTTCGGAGGCAGGAGGCCTGAAGGTTTGTGGTCCAAAGTCCAAAGTGAAGATATTTAAGCTGCTTGTAGAACGTTTAAAAGCTGTGCAGTAACCAGGACGACACGTTGATGTTTTCAGGAGTTCCTCTGGTCTACGAGTCTTTCAACTGGCAGCACGGAGTGTTTGTCGGAGCTGCAATGAGGTCCGAGGCCACGGCAGCTGCGGAACATAAAGGTATAAATCCTTAAACGGGATCCCTTTGGTTCAGGTGCTATAGGAGGAATGGTCTGACCACGAGCTTCCTTTTTGTTTTCCGTCCAGGCAAAGTGATCATGCATGACCCCTTCGCCATGCGGCCGTTCTTCGGCTACAACTTCGGCGACTACCTCGCTCACTGGCTGAGCATGCAGAGCCGAAAGGCCCCCACGCATCTGCCCAAGATCTTCCACGTCAACTGGTTCAGAAAGGACCCGTCCACCGGCGCCTTCCTCTGGCCCGGCTTCGGCGAAAACGCCCGCGTGCTGGAGTGGATCTTCAATCGCTGCAGCAGAGAGCGGGACGACGAGGCGGCCAAGAAGAGCATCATCGGCTGGGTGCCGCAAGACGGCGCCATCGACACTAAAGGCCTCAGTGGCAACGTGGATATGGGGGCCCTGTTTAACGTCCCCAAACCGTTCTGGCAGAACGAGGCCAAGGAGCTGAGAGCCTACTTCACTCAGCAGGTCGGAGCTGATCTGCCCGCTCCGGTGGAGGCCGAGCTGAAGGCGCTGGAGGACCGAGTGCACAGTTAGACGCCAGGAAGCTCATCAGGGTACAACCAGAACCACCGACTGGAGTTATACGCACAGAGAAGCGTCGTGAAAAGCAGGTTGAGATGACGGACCGGCCCGTCTTTACGGTCATCGAGAAACATTTAGCAATCGGAGCAAACAGAAACCTGTTTTTCTTATTCGGTGCCAAACTTCCTCTGTGCTTATAATCAGTCCGTGATCCTGGATCTGTTCTGTACGAAGGAAAAGTCTCGTAGCAACATTTTGAACACGTCGCACTAAAGCTGCGCCCCGGGAGCCACTGGTGGTTGGAGCGAGCCTCGACTCTCAGCGTGAAGATTAGATCTGATGACAGAAAAGCTAAAGTCGCTACCTCCATCCTTTCACCGTCAGCGTGCAAACAACCTTCTAGTGCCTTTTAAATAATCCAGGTCTGTTGGTGTTTACACGCTGAAGACCAAAGATCTCCAAGTCAGAGCCAACTTTTTACACTTTAGAAGCCTTAAAACAGTTTTAACGTTTAAACACTATCATCTCATGAAATTATTATTTTTTTTTATTGCGCTCTCCAGATTTTCGACTTCTGCGACGTTTGTAATTAAACTGTATAATTCCAGCTGATGTTTACACACAATTTGTGGAGAATTGGACCAATGCCAGCCACCGAGGTTATCAGGTGCTTTAAAAAAGTTTTTTTTTTAACGCGGTGCAATGAATGAATATGGTCAAACGTGGAAACAATGACTTGTTTTTACTGTAACTTGAATAATAAAAGGTGGTGCCTTCTGAAAGTTTCACCTTGGATTGGATTTTTATTAAAAAATGTCAACTTTATATTTCATTTATACCATATTTATATTTGATGATTGGAAAAGGAATATAGCAGTGACAAGAAATAAAACCATAAAACGTGTAATCATTAATACTTTTAAAGTTAAAGACTAAATGCTTCTATAATCTCAAAGATGTGCCTTCATAATCTCAGTAAATATGACTCTGTCATAGAAATGTAATAGAATAGGTCTAAACTTTATGGTTATGGCTCTGCAATTTAAGAAAATATGAGATCTCAAAATCTACATATCTATAATTTTAGGGATTATGTTTATATTATCACTGTAGGTATGACTATAGTCTTGGAAATTAAGGATTAAAATCTTTTAGGAATAAACCTAAAATCTCTCCGTGAGCACAGAAAATATGGCTCTATAGATTCAGAGATTATGGTTCTATAATTTAAAAAAATGTGGCTGTGTTATAACAAGGAGTATGGCTTTGTAATCTCAAGTAATATAACTATAATCTCCAAGATTAAGGTTCTACAATTTCAGTGATTACAGCTCCATCATTAAGATCATTTAGCTCCATAATAATTATGGACTATGGCTTTAAAATCTCAGGGAATATAAAATAAGAGATTACAAGGGGAATGGCTGTATAATCTCAGGAATTGTGGACTATAATCCCAGAAAATATGATTCTATAATCTAGTACTCAGCTTTCCAATTAAAGAGAAAAAATATTAAATAAAACAAAACTACCTTCGTAACACCAGGCTTGAAAAAGTAAAAACATTAAATCATTAAATCATGAGATAAGACATCGAGTTTAAGACTTTTAATCCAATTTTATATAAAAATTAATAACGTGTTTTAATAAATTTAAATTTATGAGAGAAAACAGGTGGAATATTGAACAACGTTAACACAAAGCATAAAAAAACTAAACCGTCAGTTTGTAATCCGATGGAATGTCAACAAATGAAGTTTAAAAATTTCAATAGAAAATTATGTTTTTTTATAAAAGTCAATGACGTTAATCCTCCACAGAAGCTCTTGGGTGTTTTCATTAAACACGTGTCTATGGACCATCTGCTCCAGGTCAAGGTCCTCCTCAGACCAGGTCGAGGTCCTTCTCAGACCAGATCGAGGTCCTCCTCAGACCAGGTCGAGGTCCTCCTCAGACAAGGTTGAGGTCCTCCTCAGACAAGGTCGAGGTCCTCCTCAGACCAGGTCGAGGTCCTCCTCAGACAAGGTCAAGGTCCTCCTCAGACAAGGTCGAGGTCCTCCTCAGACCAGGTTGAGGTCCTCCTCAGACCAGGTTGAGGTCCTCCTCAGACCAGGTCGAGGTCCTCCTCAAACCAGCCAGGCCCACAGAGCTTTCTTCAGTCCAACATGTCCACTTCGACCCACTTCCCATCTGCTGGATCTTGAGGTCCAACAGCTGTTTGGGGTGTGAGGGGGCCACGCCCTTCTGAAACAGGACCAGCAGAGTTCCTGTTCTACTGGATCTGATGTTGTGATCTTTGCCGTTCAGTCACATGACCTTTCAGCAGAGAAGTTTAACTCACACACTGGTATGAATGGTGCTTCATCTTGTTTTACTGGTTCAAACCTTCAACAAATTCCATCCATCCATCCATCTGTCCATCCTTCCATCCATCTGTCCATCCTTCCATCCATCCATCCATCCATCCATCCATCCATCTGTCCATCCTTCCATCCATCTGTCCATCCATCCATTCATCCATCCATCCATCCATCCCTTCATTCATTCATCCATCCATCTATCCGTCCATCCATCCACCAATCTGTCCGTCCATCCATCCATTCATTCATCCATCATCATCCATCCATCCATCTATCTGGCCATCCATCCATCCGTCCATTATCCATCCATGCATTCATCCATCCATCTATTCATCTGTCCATCCATCCATCTGTCTGTCTGTCCATCCATCCATCCATCTGTCCATCCATCCATACATCCGTCCATCTATCTGTCCATCTATCCTTCCATCCATCCGTCCGTCCATCCATCCATCTATCCCTCTGTCCGTCCGTCCATCCATCATCCATCCATCCATCCATCCATCCATCCATCCATCTGTCCATCCATCCATCTGTCCATCATCTACCTCTTGTCTGGTCATGGGGGCACCAACTTGAGCAGGGAGGTCCAGACATCTCTCTCTCTCATCTCCAGCTCTTCTGGGAGGACGCCAAAGTGTCCCCAGTCCAGCTGAGAGACATGGTCTTTCCATTGTGTCCTGGTCTTCCTCAAAGTCTCCTTCCAGTTGGACATTCCCAGATAACCTCCCTAGGGAGGCGTCCAGGGTCCATCCTTACCAGATGCTTTAACCTCAACTGGCTCCTCTGGATGTGGAGGAGGAGCAGCTCTACTCCGAGTCTCTCCTGGATATCTGAACATCTCACCCCGTCTCTGAGGGAGAGTCCAGCTTCCCTGCAGAGAAAACTCATTTCCAGCACTTGTATCTTGTTCTTTTGTGACCATAGGTGAGGGTAGGAAGGTAGACCGGCCAGACTCAGCTCCCTCTTCACCACAACGGACCAGCACAGAGACCAGTAAAACACTTTCTTCCCTTTAACTGTTAAATGAAAAGGATCAGCACAAGCTGTGGCTCTGACCGGCCTCTTCTCTAATCTGAAGTCCTATCTGAGTTCTTCATGCTCAAATTAGGAAACAGTGATGTAATCCTTCTGACTCAGGTTCCCAGAGATATTCATAGGTTGGGTGCTAACTGACCCACTCACTACTGGTGAAGACAACAACACCCGGTTTGAAAATGGAAATTATTTCTCATCCAGACAGCAAACATTGGTCGTCTGGTGTCGAATCTCGTGTCTGTTGGATCTGCACGGGACTTGCAGACGAGCTTCCATGGTCTGCAGTGCAGTGAAGAAGAGGTGAACCTGTTCTGTAACACACTGATGTGAAACACCTGAAAAACAGGACAGAAGGTGAACAAAACAAAACGGCTTGAGGAGACGAATGCATGAACACTGAACTAACACACACAATTACATGATCGCCCAGCTTTTTTGGTGGACGTTCAACAGAAACTCACCTGGAAGAAAGAAGACTCAGAAACATGTCAACTCTCACCAGAGCTGCCGTCTAACTGCAAACAACACATGGATTTTTCAAAATAAAAGCTTTTAAGGTAATGTTTGAGCACAACTAGATTTTACAGTCAAAAGCAGAAATAATAGAAGTCTGCAGAATTTGTCTTTACAAAAAACTTTGTGTTTTTTTTTTTTTTACCACATATGTGCAGAAAAATAAGTTAAAAAAGCCATAAAAGCTGTTTTTATACCATCTAGCAGTGCCTGTTAAAAGTTACGTTAAAGCAAACAAACTTCAAAATGTTTTCATCCTTCCTTTTTCTTTGAGAGACTCTTCATCTCTCAGACAGGAAATAAAATAAAAACAATGTTGCAGTATTTTAATAAAACAAGGATAGTATTTTATTTTAAATTAAACATTTTCTGGCTTTTAAAGCAATAAATTCAGTAATCAGACGTCTGTCATACACTTATTCTGTAACAACTGGGGATAATAATGGGTATCCAGTAAGTACTAAGTATCAGGTACTTCCCCACAAAAACAAAGTACATAAGTATTCACCCCAGGAGTACCCAGTCAGTACCCAGTTGTCCATGAAGAAGCAGGATTTGATTCCCACTCATTGATAAACTCAAGAAGACTCTGTAAGAACACGAGAAAACAACATTTCTGAGCTGGTATTCGAACAAGTAGATGTTTCTACTTAATGAAGGTGCAACTTTATTCATAAATAAATAGAAGGTGTTGATTTTCATGCAACCTTTTTGTGGTTACTCTCCTTGTCTGAGTGGAGGCGTTTGCACCAAGATGTGGTCGCGGTGATAGACACGTTGCCACAGGTGTGTAAATGTTCATGTGAATGCACCTGCATGACCTTTTATGTGTTCTAGACTTGGCGAGACCGTCCATCATCATCTAAGAAGAAGAGACAGACACAGAAACATGGCCGACATCTGGCAGCAAGTTTTTCACGTCCCCTTCTTTATTTGGGATTTCAGTGTTTGTGTGATGAGTTAGTCAAAATCTAATTAAGAGATACAACTGAGATGAAACTGAGTGTTTGTCATGTATGACTTTATTCAGAGTGGAAGAGGAGCTCAGATGCAGGACGAAGAAGACACACCCAGCTCGCCTTACTCTCACTTGGGCGGTTCTTCAAACTGGGATCCTCTACCAGAGGCCTGGGAGTTTGAGGGTTCTGTTCTGTAACTCAGCTGTTCCTTGACTGCGCTCTTCTGGACAGAGATCTCTGAGGTTGTTCCTGGGATCTGTTGGAGCCACTCTTCCAGTTTGGGGGTCACAGCACAAAGTGCTTTAAATGCCACTGGTACCACCGAGGCCTTGACTCGCCACATTTTCTGCATTTCCTTTTCCAAACCTTGGTATTCCTCCAGCTGCTCCTTCTTCCTGATTTAGTCACTTGGGATTGCTACATTTATCATTACTCTCATTTGGCCACCACCACAATATCCGGTTGGTTAGCCATCACCTGTTTGTTGGTCTGGATCTGGAAGTCCCACAGTATTTTAGCCCTTCCATTCTCCACCACCCTTGGTGGTGTCTCTCACTTTGACTGTGGGACCTCCAGTCCATACTCTGCACAGATGTTCCTGTACATTATTACAGCCACTTGGTTATGGCGTTCCATGTATGCGTTGCCTGCCTGGATCGATTTTGTAATAGTGTCGTCAGACCTGTGCCCCGGACACTGGGAGAAGTGAACGCAGAGCTGATAACTAATCATTGTGGTGAGTTTGGTCTGGTGACCAAGGAAACTGCTGAATAGACCTGGTAAACCCAAGCCAGTTGAACTGGAAACATCTAGTGGAGTCCTCTGTATTATCTTGAACTCACCTTCGGCAGAGTTTTTCCACATGTCCTGGGGGAGGTCAGGGACATGGAATCCAAATGGACCATGTTTGGGACTTCTATGGCAATTGTTGCTTTCAAGGTCATTAGGGCCTGTTGTGGCACCGACTGAAGGACCCGCTGGTATACGCTACTGAGCTGGAAGCTGTCAAGCTAAAGAAGGTCTTCAAGACTTGGCTGTCCTGGAGGACTCCTGAAGCCGCTGACAGGGGTGACCAGAAGAGCTGTGACTTCAATGGTTGTGGATGGTACTGGTTGTCCTTGCGGTTGGCCTCAAGAAGGCTCTGACAAACTGTTGTGCAACTTAGAAAAGGAAAACTGACTCTGCATCAAAAGGAGTCAGTTGAGGTTCAGGTATTTGATTGGGATGCCTCGTTGGCGCTTCTCTTTGGAGACGTTGGAGAATGTTCAACTGGGAAAAGGCCGAAGGACAGACCCAGAACTTGCTGGAGGGATTATGTATTCTCTCTCTGGTCTGAGGGTTCCTTGGGATCCTCCAAGAGGAGCTGGAGAGTCTCTGGAGAGAGGGATCTCTGGGTCTCTCAGTGGTGGGGTCGCAGATGGATAAGCAGTAGATGGAAATGGAGAATCTTTCAATATTAGGTGGAAACCAATTACATTTTTATTTAATTGGTATTACTTTTTTAATAATGTTTTATTTTATTTTTGTTTAAAGGCCATTTTATATTGACCGTGACTGATTACTATTTGGCAATAAAAGGGTACAAGGATACAGGGATACAAGGATTTTTATTCTCATCACGTGTGGTACATGGGAGGAACAAAATTATGTACACAGGGTCCCATCCAACAAAAATACAAACTGTAAAGAAAACATTAGTAAGATTCGAGTCATGAACTAAGAATATACTGAATATACATTCACTGGAGGTTTCTTCCTTTTAAAAGGGAGTTTTTCCTTTCCACTGTTGCCACTGTGCTTGCTCAGGATGGAAGACTGCAACGAAGCCAAGACTCAACTTGTCTGCTGGATTCCTTAGATAGAGAACTTTACTAATTGGCTTTTATGTATGTGAATATTTCTGTAAAGTGCCCTGAGACAACTTTGCTGTGATTTGGCGCTATAGAAATAAACTGAATTGAATTGAACTAAACTGAGAATACACTAAGCCCTAATAGTACAAAAACAACGCACCATCTGAGGGCGTGAATACTTTTTATAGGCTCTGTATGTTATTCTAAGGATTCTGCTTTGTTTCATAGTTTTTCCCCTTAGCATGTTTACTTTTTTAAAGGTGCTCATTGCAAAATATAAAATAAAAACAGCTTACTGCTTCTGGCAGCTCCCACTCATCTGTGTCATCTGTGAGCTGATTACCAGGACACATAAGGCTGAGCTGAGGAAAAATTCATCACTGGTTCGTTCTGAGCCACTTATCTGTTGATTTTTTAATTTTATTTCGAAAAGTGTGAGTTTATGAATAAAGTAGTGATGGGAAGCTTCAAGGATTTTGTGATGGGGACATCTGGAGGACAACTGGAGCCACAACAAGGGCAGGACTGGAAACACTGTTTGAGTCCCGTATCAGCGATAAAGGTTCAGAAAAGACTGCTGATTCATGTGTTTGGTTAATTTGTACTGAATAATGATTGCACAATAAATCATGCTTCTTAGACCTTGAAGTACAACAAAGTTCTTTGTTAATGAGTACAACATAATGTTGTGCAGACAGTCATGCTCTAAAACACTTATTTGTTTGTTGGGGACACATAAAGCTGTCTACATCTGAATCTGAGTTAAAGGCACGTGGCTGTCCAGTTAAAATACACGTAAGCTGATCAGGTGAGTACATACATGTGTAGAAATGAACATATTTTTACAAAACAGTATTTAAGTGCAGGAGATAATGTGACAAAAATAGTGTGTGCATGGTGGAGCAGACTCCAGAACAGTAAGAGTTAGCTGATTGTTCTTGAGATGGATTGTGGGGAACAGCCCTGAAGGCACCGGACCAGGGGGTCCTGGGTTTGAGGGGTCACAGTGGATGTTCTCAGTCCATTTCCTCGCTGGTGAAAAGCTCAGATCCCACTCAGCAGTCCGAGCTGCTCGTCGCAGCACACAAAGATCAGGTTTAGAACTAAACTTGAACGTAGAGATCCTTTGGAGCAGCAGATCTATTTCCTGGCTTGGACACCTTGACCTGAGAGTACACCGTCTCCTGTCCTTCGTCCTGCTCTGGAACAGAGGAAGCTTCAGGACTCCTCTTGAAGGTCACCTCTCCATAATGGAGTTCTTCTTCTTGTTGTGGAGATGAACGTTTGGACCTGAAGCACCTGGAAGACATCAGAATGAATATACTGTGTTTCAGATGAAAGAATAAACTTATATAAAATATATTTATATAAAATATATTTATATATATATATATATATATATATATATATTAGTGGATGAAGATCAATAAAATCACACTAATTGGTGGAAACTGTTAATGAAACTAAAATGTGATTAAATAAATGAACCAGAACTAAATTTGTTTTTATTTCTGATACTCACCAAACAGAAAGAGCCAAACAGATGAGAACTAAAGGAACTACCACCCAGAGAACCAGTAGATGCTTATCTGGATTTTTTTTTAAAAAGAGTCTTTATTCACAGCACAATGAAAATTAACTTAACTTACTTTGAAATAATCAAAGTTTTTAGATTCACTTCAGTGAACAATTTACCTTCAACAGTAAGAAGAACCACAGGTGACATCTGGTTCCCCAGATCATTTAGAGCCACACAGTAAAACTCTCCTCTCTCAGAGACGTTGAACCTGTAAACCTGACCTTCAGAAACAAGAACAGGTCCATGTTTGCTGTTCCTGAACCAGGTGAAGGTTCTGGCAGGAGGCTTGGCTCTGCTGGAGCAGCTCAGCTCCACCCAGGTACCTGCTGACACCATGGATGCTGAGGTGTTTTTAGGAGCATCTGAGGAGAACGGGTCACACATTAACTCCATTCATCAGAACCAGCTGAACCGTGACGGGTCGACAGGATCACTTACAGGAAACACTGAGAGTCAGATTTGTTTCTGCTGTCTTCTTACGTTGCCCTCCATCCACAGGATATCTGACAGAACATGTGATGTTGTCTCCATCATGTGTGTCTGACAGAATCATGTTCTCCTGGATTTTAGTTGTAAACGTTCCATCTGGGTTCTTCTCTGTTCTCTGAGAGTCTTGATGGAGACTCCAGGTGAGTTCAGGAGGTGAGTGTGGACAGGGAGTCTGAGCTGAGCAGGTGATGGAGACAGACTCCTCCTCCTTCAGATCCTTCAGATCACCTGAGACTTTAATGTTAGGGCTCCAGGCAGAATCTGAGATTTACAGACACCAGAACAGATTAAATACAATCTGTCAAACTGTCTCACTCGTTCATTCATTTCCTGTTCCCACACCTGAACAGGTGACAGGTAAGGTACACCCCAGACAGGTCACCAGTTCATCCAACATTAAAGCACAACACACACACACACACACACACTACCAAGGTTACCTTATATTCACCTGCTAGCCTATCACATGTTTTTGGACTATAGGAGTTTCTTTATAAACCCAATGTGAGTACAGAGAGAACATAAAACTAAACAGAAAAGTCAAATAGGAGCCCTTGATGTCAAGCAGCCGAACTCTGAACTGAAATGTAGCTAACGCTTCAAAATGTAAAGTAGAGCTGGTCATTTCTAACCTGGGCCTGAAGCTCGGCCCGACCCAACCCAATTTAGGTCAGCCAAGCCATAATAATGTGCTGGATGGGCGGGCTGGATTGGTGTTTTGATTGTGTCAGTGGATCAGCCGCGATCCAATTATATGGCAACATGGCTTGCCATACAATCACCGGCCACACGTGGCCATTTCACTGTGAGCTGACCATCCTTGAAAGAGCTAAAATAAAGTTCAGTTGAGCTTCTGATGAGACTATACTGCCAGGAAGTGCTCCATCGCCCAAATGGATGTTCAGGTGCTGCGCTCAGCAGACGTGCGTGGCCGACGACCCAAACAGGTGAGATCCCAAAGCAGACATGTCAGAGCAGGGTCCGTGTCTGAATAATGCAGAATGCAGGGATTTAATGCTTTGACGGCCATGAAAGGACAAACACCCCCTGAGCTCCGATCTTCTGCCCCTTTTATTCAGCCGTGCGCGTCCACCGACCGTTAATAACTATGTAAGCAGTCAAAGCTTGATTAAAAATGTCGGGGGTATTTTCGGGTTTGGACCTGTAATTACTGTTAATTTGTCGGGTCGGGTGGGGTTCGGAAATTATGGCTATGGGCTGGGTCGGGTCGAATTTTTAGGGCTCGAATGCAACTCTAATGTAAAGACAATAAATCTAAAACATCATTAGTGCAGCAGCAGTTCATTTAAAATAACTTCAAATAATTTCACATTCGTCCACCAACTGAATTCATTTAGAACGAAACAGCTGCTGATCATCTTCAGAACAGTTGATGTTTGTGTCTAAATGTTGGTAAAGCTGTGACGAGTTTTATGGAGAGTTGAGGAGAAAGTTCTTACCTTTAACTGATATTTGAAGAGAATCAGCACAAGCTGAAGCCTTGAAAAGTGCGTTCTCAATTCTGAAGAAGTATTTGCCTGAATAACTTGTTTGTAGATCAGGAAACAGAGTGGTGCAGTCTTTGTCCTTCAGGTTTCCAGCGATGCTCAATTTATTGATGTTAACTGATCCATCGCTGTGAATATTATCGTTTGAAGGGTACCACACATTTTTCATCCAAACTCCATAGATTGTTTTGCTTCTGTCATATGATGAATCTTTT